GTGGTAGTAGCAGTAGCAGTAGCATTCATTCCCCACGCAGCGAATCGTCCGACTTCGCCTAGCGAGCTGACAAGTAGCACGGTATTCATGCATACTTGGATCCTCCTTGGGATCTAGAGGGCCATCGGCCGGCTCTATCCGAATGCTGAACTCATCCATAGTTTCTTCACTCATCTTCAGGCACCTGGCGTAGCCAGAGCAGGTAGCTGCTCTGTACGTAATCGTCAGTTGCAAGCTGTGCAGCAATGTTGTCGTCTGTCACCCACGCTCTCGGATGCCCAAACTTCTTTTGCCCGTAAAGCACAGATCGATAATGTCCTGCATTCGGACTGTGTCCAAAGTGGAGCTGTGCAGCGACCACCTGGTACAGAGCCCAGGAGCAGTGGATACTAGCATCAGCATCAAAACAGGGAAGCCGAACAGTCGATCTGTGCCCATGCAGCGGCCTTGAGTCTCGTTGCAGACCACTTGAATCCCCAGTGAACCTCTGTAGCTGTATGCACAAGTAAGTCGGAGCTCCCGTGAGAGCATGAGGGGCCGCCTGAGAGTGCCACTGATCTATCACCCTTTGAAGGCTCAGATCTCCCCCTGCTGGCAGGGCCATGATTAGAGGCGAGACAAGTTCTCCTCCATCCTGCTTGTGTACTCCTTGCGGTGTGTCAAGTCGTGCCTCCCAACTCGCCTCCAGTCCTGTGTTGGAGAACCTCGGAAGCAGGTAGGTAATAAGCTCTGCGGCATCATGTTATTGATGCAGATGCCTCCAGTTTCCAAGCAGGGCCCGCCAGCGCAATTGGGACACAACCTTAAGCGGTGCACAAGGGCTACTCTGGGTGACGCGTAGCAACGGACTGAGGATCGTGGCCAGTGTCGGTTTACGTGGCCCGTGGAGTTGAGCCTGAAGGACCGTCCACATGTAGGCCACTAGTGTGGAATTAAGATAGCACAAGTTGGTGGCATTGTGCAAGGGTAGCTTCAGCACAGATTTGAGGCCGGGGACCGCGCTCACTCTCGACTCCAAATCTGGCTCACCAGATTGTCGTAGTTCGGACGGTCGCGTCGGAGTCGGCACCCAAGGGTGTGCCACGCAGATTGGCCGATCCACTGTTGAAGTGTGCTCCACAACGGAGCTCCGTCCATCCGCAGGGAGACTGCGATCTGGAACTGTACCCAGTCTGTCGTGACCTCGGTGGAGAGGGGACGAATGCTTTTGAAGCGAAGCAACGTCTCCTCGGTGGTGGCCTTCCTGACCTGTACGATCTGCGCCAGCAGATCTGCCGTAGGGACGGCCCGAAGTGCAGTCTCCACTTCCAGGGCCTGCTGTGCCGGGTTCCATTTCAGGACTTTCCAGCTTTGGTCGTTGTCCAACCAACCCAGGGAGCGAGCATGGTCCATAGCTTGCTGCGACTTGGCCGTCTCCGTCAATCTCTCCTGAAGGGAGATCAAGAGCTGCTTGAACATCGTGAGCTTCAAGGAGTAGTTCAGCTTGTCCGGTGTTTCCTCCCTGATGGTTCGCCACTTGTCCGCCGCCTGGCATAAGACCGGTATCATGCCATCGTCCCCCGTCTTCATGAACAGGTACATCGTCATGTCTTGGCGTAGGGATGCGATGACCTGTTCCTGTCTCAAGGCAAGCTGGGTGAGCTTCTCCACTCTCGCCTCCAGCCACGTCGATCGAGAGGTCCTGTTCGACATCCATGGCTGATCCAGATCTTCGTCGAAGCCACTGGAGTAGGCCCACATGCGCGCTGCGGGGTAGACTCCCTGTGGTAGTGGGGAGTTCGTCTTTCCCTTTCCTTTGCCCTTGCCTTTGCCCTTGCTTCGTCCCTTGGGTGGATCCTGGTGCTCCAGGCGTTGTCTCTTCCCCAGCGTTTGTGAGGCCGGGTCCCTGGTTGGTGCTGTCTGATCCCTCTTGAGCGGCCCCATTTGACCAAAGAAGAGTTTTCCTGTTCGTCCAGATCCATCTCCGCTCCCGTCATGGTGTTGCTGCACGGCTAGAAAGGCACACAGACTGAGTACATGACATTGATACCAGTGCCTATCCTTATTAATCTGAGTGAGGTGGCAATATCTACAGGGCACAACAGTGTGTCGTCTGAACCCTGAGAGCAGCTTACGAACTTCCGACTGCAGAGCCTTCCAAGTCGGATGCACAGCCGTAAGATGGCATTTAAGCCCCCCTGGTGTCGCTGCCCACTGCATGCAAATCGGACAGTGATGCGCAAGATAGGCTTGCACCTTCTGGTTTTGGGGCAGGTCGAACCATCGTCCTTTGGCCAGTGCCTCTAGTACCTCCGGCCAGGTGCAGAGAGGTGCGGTCGGGGTGCAGGAGAGCGATTGCTCAGAGTCCCGGTTCTGCTCGGCGCGATGGTAGCGGGTCATGGTCTGTTTCCTGCCTCAGGTTCGGCTCAGGCGGATTCAGCAGGGTTGCAGGGTCCACTTCGGCTAGCTCGGAGGCCCGGGCAGAATCCAGCCTATCTCTGAGAACCTTGCAGCGGTTCTTCTTGATATGTTTGATCAAATTGTCCCACTGCCTGAAACGATGTCCACAATGCCTACAGGTGGGCAGGCCACCAGTGCCGTGCGCGAACCGATCAAAGGGTTGAGTGTCACACTGGGGTGTGCGCTGTCCATGCTTCTTAGCCTCGTGCGATCGCAGGAGACGGAAGGATGCAAAGCTCTGGCCGCATTCCACACAGGTGTGAGGCAGCAGCCCTGCCTCCGGTTCAGCAGGGGCAGTCCACTGCACCTCCCTCGAGGCCTGGAGTGTGGCTGCTTGTTCTCGGATGTCCTCGACGGCAGACGCCTGGACGAAGTCAGAATGATCCTGAAGAAGACACAGCCGCCTATGTAGAGCAGTGGCCTCCTTCAGGAGGCTGTCCAGGGCCGTGGGGACTCTCAGACGAGCATGCGCATTCATGGTGGACTCCTGTTGCAAGTGCGCGTACGAGTGCGCCATGGCTCGGGCATGTTTGATGATGAGGGCCTGCACTCTCCCAATATCTTTCGGACCTAGTCGCACAGCGGCCAGTCCATAGAGCAGGGTTGGTAGCACAGTCGATTTCCAGAGCGAGATTCGAGCTGTTAGCTGGAGCTGTCTGGGAGAACAGAGGATTCGCCTCAGGCGTTGCCAGGCTGCATTGGCGGCCTGAATGCGATGTAGGGCCGTGTGGCTCGCCATGGCATGATATGAGATCCGGACGCCCAGGTAAGTGTGCTGCTCCCGCAAAGGGATGCGGTACGCAGTTCCTCCGGGAGTGCGAAAGAGTAGAAGATCACCCTCCGACGTGGAGAGGCAATGTCTTCGCCTCCATTTCTTGAGGAAGGATCCGCGGTGTTTAAGGAGGAAAGCTGACTTACCAGCATTGATGATCATCCCCTGTCCAGCCAGAGCATCAAGCACAAGCCCAAATCGGTAGAGAGCCTTGTCCAGACCTGTGGTAGTGGTCGCAGTCTCCTTGAGGTGTATCTCGTCGGCGTAGGTAGTGGAGTTGGCCTGAAGCCAGGGTTGCATAGTGTCCGGGGCTGAGCTGTCCCGAATGTGCTTATAGATGCAGCCCACAGCCAAAGCCCACAAGGTGGGAGCTAATTGGCGTCCTTGGCGCAGGCCTTGTTGGGCAATGATCTCCGTGTTTTTGCCTAGGTGTTCCACCATGTAGCAAATGTGATAGTACCACGACATGACCTCATTACGGAGTTCCGTCGGTACCCCCGCCTCGGCCATAGCTCTGTCCAGCAGTTGCCATCTGACAAGGTCAAAAGCGCTTGATAGATCTAGTGATAGTTGGATTCCCACGAAGCTAGGAGCAGAAGCTGGTAGGCACTCCTGCCGATCTGCCACTGTACGAGTGGCATGGGGGCACTTCTGCTCCACATACCTGCAGTGTGCAGCCACTCGTTGGATGGCCATGGCCGCATCTCTGTTCGGAAGATAGGCAAATTGTGTGATGCCTCGGAGATATTCGGCGGCGAAGGGTCTGAGCTGTACCTGAAGCATTCTGGCGTAAGCTCGCCCGCTGGATTCGGTCAGACCTATCGGCCGCAAGTTCTTCGGAGATAACGGCCGTGGTATTTTGGGCACCAAGACGAGCCACGCATTCCTCCACAGCTGGGGGATGCTTGTCCACTCCTTGGCCCAGCGGGCAACCACAGGGGCCACAACATCAGATGTAATGCGCCAGAGGGCGTTAGGTCCGGTGGGGTGGCTTTGTATGGAGACAGTGTGGCCAAGGCCTTGGCCAGTGCGACAGAGTCGATGTCCAGTTGAACCGCAGCACGAGGGGGACCCGCCGTCTCAGAATCAGAGTCCGCGGCATAAAGGCCTCGGTAGTGCTGTTCCAGCTGCTTGAGCTGTTCAGCAGGGTCCTGAAGTCGACGTTGCGGGTCTCGCAGCTGAACTTTGACTCTATGCTGCTTCGGGGCCAAGGAGCGCACTCCAGCGTAGAGGGTTCTGGAGTCTCGAGCATGGACAGCCTTCTGCAAATCCCCGATTCTGTCCCGAAACCACTGCTTTGTGCCTGTTTGAAGTCTTGGTATGCACGGGCAACTCGGAGCGGGTCAAGCGGTGGGGTCCTTGCGAGCAGCTTCCACCGACGATAGCGCTCCCACAAGCTCTTAATGCCACCTTGCATGGCAGTCGTCTGCCAGGGAGCAAGGCGCTGTGTCCTAGCTGGAGCAGGGAAGAGCTCCGTAGCACACTGGACAAGCAGCTGATTGAGAAATATGAGGTTATCAGCCGTATGGAGTCTGTCCTGCACATGCCGACAGAGCTCAGCCCATCGGGGGTCGGCAGGTTTGCGGCTAAGTTGAACCACCGCCCAATGATCCCATGTCCTCCGCACCACAAGGGGTTTGTTGAGACGTGTAAAGCGAATTAATGGAAGGCTCGCAAACACAGGTATGTGCTTGCCTCCCAGCCTCCACTCGGCCAGACCCAATGGTTTGGGTCGAGCTTGTTTGGCTCGATTATCCGCTTGCTCTACCCTCATGAGCACATGATCAATGAGCCTGGAGCCTTTGGAGTGCACGAAGGTTGGCCCTGAGGTCCTGCACCAGGAATTGAGATGGACAAGATTATGGGTTTCAAGGGTTTGCTGGAGCCTGGATTGGTCCGGCGGCGGGGTGCCAAATCCGGCACCAATGCGAACCCCTGCATGTGGGCTGCTGGTCAGAGGACAGTTGAAGTCCCCTAGCAGTATAAGAGTGCTGCGTCTGGGCACCCGACGGAGCTGCTCATGCAGAGCATTCCAGATTTCAGCCCGGAGCGTCTTGGAGTCCTTGGCAGCTGATGGGTGGCTGTTGTGCGGCTTCTGGTAGACATGTAGAACAACAGTCGTCCACTGCTGGTGTATGATGCGGATATGCTGGATACGTCCCGGTTTGGGATCAGCAAAGACCACCTGCGCGTGTTCGCCACAGATTTGGCTCTTGAATGCTCTGAGCCATGCATATAGGGAGCAGCGCTGAGGCAAGGAATGCAAGGACGAGTCTCAAGAGGCGTAGGTAGAGTCTCCTGGATCTGGGACCATCCTGCAGCCTACAGACATGTTCGATTGGAGTCCTCGAACCTTCTAGCGAGTCGTACGTGTTGCTAGAAGCAGCCTCATTTTCACACATCATTCTCTCACAAGCTGGAGCCCGGGGGCTTAGTAGCAGTAGCAGTAGCAGTCGCAGTAGTAGTCGCAGTAGTAGTAGTAGTAGTAGTAGTAGTAGTAGTAGTTGTTGTCGTAGTAGTCGTAGTGGTCGTAGTAGTAGTAGTAGTAGTAGTAGTCGTGGTGGTGGTGGTGGTGGTGGTGTAGTA